GGCTAGTGAGGTGAATATTTGGTGGTTGGGGAGTGATTCATTCTGCCATAGTGGGGGACAGTGGGGTGTGAGAAATATGGCTTTTATAGGGTGGCTTTTATGGTGGTTTAAAGGTCAAAGTAATCAAAAATATCCCTTGGCTTGTTGTGCTTGTTATTTCGGTTGTACTAGGGGACAAGGGGGGGACAATGTTTGTGGGATGTTGGGTGATGAAATATGGTTGTTTGGCTTGGTGTGTTTCGGCCCTAGCTTAGGGAAATGAAAAGGAAATTGACTTATGGTTTTTTCTTTTGGCACAAAACGTGTTATTTTGATGGAGTGATTCAAGTAGGGAGTGGGGTAGTCTGGGCAGGGTATACGGCTCTTTTTAGGATGGAGATAGGCTCAAGGTTGTCAGGGTTAAGTAATATGGTTTGGGGTTGGAGAATTCATTCCAGAAAGGATCGTAACACTTAGACATGATTCCACTGATTTGTTTAAGGATTTGAGGATCAGGTGTAGTACTAGGGGATATAACACATACGCAATGAAGTCAATGAGCTTCATAATCCAACAACAACCATGACCGAAAAAGAAGCAATAACATTTTATCCAAGCAAAAAACAACATAAAAAATTTAACAAAGCACATCACTACGATAACATAAAAAAAAGAGGAGGTTATTTCTTACCAAGAAAGAGAGCTCGTAATAGGCCTCCTCCGGAACCCCAACCACCCGAATCCCAGGGAAAGGCCGGGGGAGCCGCTGAGCCGGCTTGACCGGGGGAAGGAATGCTGCGGTAATGTCCCTCCAGCTTCCGGTAGCTTTTGGGAATGGAGAAGACGATGAAGATGCCTGATGATTTCGAGAGAAAAAAATCCTTCGTGGATTAATTCCAATCTTGCAAATTTTAGAGTAAAACATTGAGAATAATGCGGAGTAAAACTTATTATTACCTCTCCCTGGACCTGAATTGATTTAGTATCTTTATGCGCCGAACACTCCAAGATTCCAGCAAGATGGACCATATCATCACCTATTCTGCCATCTTTGTCATGTCTAAAGACCAAATAGCCTACTCCAAAGTCTGACCGTCATTAATGGCAGAAGAACTCGAGTTCTTCCGCCATTAATGGCGGACAAACATTGGAGTTTGGAGCAGACTATTTGGTCTTTAGACATGACGAAGATGGCAGAATAGGTGAGGATATGGTCAATCTTGCTAGAATCTTGGAGTGTTCGGGGCATAAAGATACCTGAATCAATTCAAGTTCAGGGAGAGGTAATAAAAAGTTTTACTCCTCATTATTCTCAATTTTTTACTCTAAAATTTGAAAGATTGCAATTAATCCACGGAGTATTTTATTTTTTTTCAAAATCATCAGGCATCTTCGTCGTCTTCTCGATCCCCAAAAGCTACCAGAAGCTGGAGGGACATTACCGCAGCATTCCTTCCCCGGTCAAGCCGGCTCAGCAGCTCCCCCGGCCTTTCCCCGGGATTCGGGTCGATGGGGTTCCGAAGGAGGCCAGTTACGAGCTCTCTTTCTCGGTAAGAAATAACCTCCTCTTTTTTTATGTTATCTAAGTGATGTGCTTTGTTAAATTTTTTTATGTTGTTTTTAAATGTATATACAACGAAGCAAACCCCTTAAAAAGCAAAAACAAACAATGAGAAGTGAAATCAAGTTTGAGATATGGATAAAATTAAAATAAAAGTGAAATCAGGCAGACATCAAAGGGAAATTAAATCAGGTGAAAGGGATTAGGCGATCACCTGGAATGACCGTAATCACTAGGGGTGGGTTTGGTTTTAACGATTCGGTTTTTACCTAAAACCAAAGACAGAACGGAAGGCATTTTGGCGGTGCGGTTCGGTTCGGTTTTGTAAAAAAAAAGAGAAAACCAATCGGTATACGGTTCGGTTTTTAGCGGTTTAAATTTCGGTTTTTTTCAATTCTTTTGGTTTTTAAAAAATTTAATTTAATAGTAAAATAATATATTAGGCAGATACCTATTATTATATAGATATGCCATACAATTAGTAGAGAGTAAAGTTTGTATACCTACAAGTAAAACAATAAATAAACTACAATTACAAGTAAAAAAACAGGTCCACTTCCCCAGCCATTACAGCCAGAATGCAACAACATACTACATCTTTTTTGTTTCTCATCCTCAATAAGAGTTAATTTCCTTTTCCCCATCAAAAAAACATAAAAACGAAATAAAGACCAAGTGATACTGAGGCTGTCAAGAATCAGTCACTTTTCTTAAACCCATTTTTGTTTTCAATCAAAATACAGTCATGAGGCTGTCATGGGAACTTTAAACCCATTTTTGTTTTCAGAAAAAGCAAAACGTATCCCATATGTAAATAGTCTCTGTAAGGGAAGGGGATCTGAACTTGCAAGAGTACCGGCTGTATTGAAAGGTGGGGACTGGGGAGTGGGAGCTGAAATTGGTGCCGTGGCTTGGATATAGCTAGGTCTGGGAAAAAATTACAGTCTCCAATTGCTGGGAAAATCTACAGTCTAGGAATCTACTCAATCTAGGTCACAGCAGACAAGGGAAACTTCAATTGCAAGAATGATTTGATAAAAAAATCAAAGAACATATAATTTCATACCTTCTTGGGTTAGATGCTTCAATCTTGGACAAAAATTGAAGATTCTCGTCACTAACTTCTGCGCTTGAAGAAGAAACCACTAGGCCGCCGGTTGAGGAGTCTGGAGTCGTACTTACTCGGAAGTGTTGGACTGCTGCGAATCTACACAATTGGACTCTGATGTTCTTTAATCGCCACAATGGACTGCTGCGAATCTGGGATAGTGCGATTGAGGATTTGAGATTTTCTTACAACTTATTTTTTCTTTTTTTTAATTCTTATTAAAATCAGATCGATTCAGATCAGATTGAATCAGATCAGATCAGATCTAATCAGATCAGATCAGATCCAATCAGGACTTATTAAAATCAGATCCCATCAAGAATTATTATTATTATTATTATTATTATTATTATTATTATTATTATTATTATTATTATTATTATTATCATCATCATCATCATCATCATCATTGTTATTATTGTTCTTAAAAATGAAAAAGAATAAACTTTAGAAATAGATTAAATAGAAAACTGAGAAAGTAATCCTTAATTATTAAACGTCGGAAAAATTAGTTTTAAAATACATTGACAATGTCAATCTAATTCTACTTTTAAAATTTATTTTTATTGCAACTTGTTATTTGAGTTTCTAAACTTTTGATCTTTTATAAGGATGAGATATTTTGATAAAAATACTATCTCTTCTATATATTGATTATTTAAATTTAATTACTTTTTAATGTATATCTAAATTAAATATTTATTCTAATGTATAATTCTAATTTCACAAAAAAATAAACATAAAATAAAAAATATTATTACATTATAATATGAATGATTATTCTAATATATGAATTAACTATTTTTATTTTATTAAAAAACAATCATTAAATAAAAAATATTGATTATATTATAATATGAATTATCATTACAATTTTCAAACGTTATTATAAAGTCAAATTAAATTATTGATTTGAAATTTTAAATTAAATCATAATTAATCAGATCATACCAGATCAGATCAGATCAAATCCAATCGGATCAGATCAGATCCAATCAGATCAGATCCAATCAGATCAGATCCAATCAGATCAGATCAGATCAGATCCAATCAGATCAGATCATATAAGAACTTATTAGAATCAGATCAGATCAGAAAAAATAAGTTGAACGGAACGGAGCCTAACGCAGTAATGCAAATCTAGATGAAATGTTGGACTGCCTCTGCGAATTTGGGATTGGGGATCTGCGAAACTAAGGCCCCGTTCATTCAACTCATTTTTTTAAATTTTTTCTTATTCTTATTAAAATCAAATCATATCAGATCAGATCAGATCGAATCAGATCAGACCAGATCCAATCAGATCAGATCTAATCAGACCAGATCAGATCCCATCAAGAATTATTATTATTATTGTTGTTGTTGTTATTATTATCATTGTTGTTGTTGTTGTTGTTGTTATTATTATTATTACAAATGAAAAAGAATAAACTTTATAAACAAGTTAAATAGAAAACTGAAAAAGTAATCCTTAATTATTAGATGTCAGAAAAATTATTTTTAAAATACATTGACAATGTCAATCTAATTTTTACTTTTAAAATACATTTTTATTAGTACCTGTAATTTGAGTTTCTAAAGTTTTTATATTTTAAAAGGATATGATACTTTAATAAAAATATTATATCTTCTATTTATCGATTATCTAAATTTAATTACTTTTTAATGTATATAAATTAAATATTTTATTCTAATGTATATATGAAGTAATTCTTAAAATATTAAATTAATATTCTAATTTCACAAAAAAAAAACAATCATAAAATAAAAAATATTACTCCGTATTACATTATAATATTAATGATTATTCTAATATACGAATTAACTAATTTTATTTTATTAAAAAATATTCATAAAATAAAAAAAATTGATTATTTTGAAATATGAATTATCATTACAATTTTCAAATGTTACTCTAAAGTCAAATCAAATTATTGATTTAAATTTTAAATCAAATAATAATTAATCACATCAGATCGAATCAGATCAGATCAGATCCAATCAGATCAGAACTTATTAAAATTAGATCAGATCAGAAAAAATAAGTTGAACGGAACGAAGCCTTAATTCCTGTAATTTCCTAAAGCCTTAAAGCTAAAACCTAAAACTAAGTACTCTTCTGTTTTTAGTAGTTTGGTTCGGTTTTAAAGAGCCAAAACCGCAACCGAAACCGAATGCAATCGGTTCAGTTCGGTCTTTTGAGTTCGGTTTTGGTTTTCGCGGTGCGGTTTTTTTGGTATTGTTCGATTGATTTCGGTTCGGTTTTAAGTTTTCGGTTTTTCGGACTCACCCCTAGTAATCACCCAATAATTTGCTTCTGCTCCGTTGTTGGTAGTCGTTGCTCGTTGGCGCTGAAGGCACATGAGATGAAGTTATTGAGGTCATCTGAAGCCCTGCAGTGAAGATTCTACTGAGTACTGACTGTCGATGGCAGGGGTGGCGCGGGACGCCTGTGCGAAGAAGATGACGGAGAGGAAGATGGGAGAGGCAAGAGGTTGTGCCGCCTGTGCAATTGTGTGGGGAAAATAAGTTCTATTTTTAGAAATGTGGCACTTTAAGACACCCGATATTACACATATAGCACTCTTTATTTTTTTTCATACATTTGGCTATTTATGACGTAGACCTCTTCCAATCATACCCTTTTTGGCAGTGTGGAATGGTCATGTTATGCCTACACTTTCTAGCAGTATGTTATGCTCTTGTTTTGGGCAGTGTGTTCTGGTTCACAATACTTAACTGTACTTTCTGGAAGTGTGTTATGCCCGTATTCTGGAAGTATATAGCAATTTAAATACATTTTTTGGCAGTGTAGAATGATCATGCTTTGGTAGTGTGGGTACATGTTATATTGGGTATGCCGACAGTGTGTTATGCACTTATGCCCATATTCTGAAAGTGTATACCAACTTAAACACATTTTTTGGCAGTGTGGAATGCAAGAAAAAATTTGGAATTGCATCCACACGAGTTCTAAAATCGCATAGCAGTGCTATATTGGGTATTTTAAGCATATATTAGTGCTTTGACGGTATTTCTCCCTTCTATTTTTTGAAGATCCAATACAAGTAGAGTCTTTTTAATTTGATTTGGTCCGACCGAAAAAAGAATAAATTGATTTCACAAACAACTTCGTTACCAGTATTATACGGCCTGGTTCATTGCATGATAACCACACATTTTGTGGGGGGTTACGGCGGGGTTGGGTGGGAGTGCAAGGGTATGGTGGGGATAGGGTGGGGGGTTTAGGGGGTGTATTAGGGGGGTAGGAACCGTTAATTTTATGAACGGAGCACCGGAGGTGCCCCAAAAACGCAGTGGCACCGGATCGGAGTTGCAACATTCTCCGGTGTCATTAGAACTGGGCCGTTATAAGAATGAGTCCTTTTTATAGAAATCACATAGTTTAGATTTCACAAACAACTTTAAATATAAATATAATCATATATAAATATAATCATATCAGGTCAAATTTATTCTAATTAGATTAGAACCATTCAAACCACATCAAAAGAAAATGGCCTAAATCACATTTTACCATATTAGATAAAAAATTCTTGTAAATGTAAATATAATTAAATTAGGTTTATCGTACCAGAACAGATTTAATTCGATTAGATCCAATCATATTAGACCAAATCTACAAAAAAAATCAGATCAGATCAAGTGGACGGAATGGACATTAAATGTATATGGTGGAAATAAGAAATGTAGAGTAACTGAGTAAGTGTATATTGTATATCTTTTTAGGCCGGATCGGATGGAGTCGGGTTTCGACCACACTAGACCGAAACTCGAAAATAAAAAAGCTGGATCGAAGATTAACCAAAAAACTAATCGATCCGGGTTCGATCTGGATCTATCAGTGTGATTTGATGGTTTTTTCAATCTGGACCTAAACATAAACAGCCCAAGCTGAAAGTATGGGTTTGCGATGGAAACTCGTGAAGTCTACAATTGGATATTTTTATTTATAAAAAAACGGGACTACGACGAATAAAATGAAAACAAATTCAACGCTCTCGATTGGTGGAAACAGAATGAGTATATGTTTCTGTCACTTGTAATGCTAGCTAAATGTGTTATCAATGGTAGCCATGGAGCAGGAGTCTGTTTTAGTGGTAACATTTTAACCAACTTCCAGAGTAGTCTTAATGCCGAATCGTTAGAGACACTAGATTGCAATCGAGATTCGTTCTTGGTGCAGTGAGTTGTTGACCGCAAGAGACGGGGTACGACATAAACACACAAAGCTACATGGACGCAATCACGGAGGAATTGAAAGTGGTGGTTTGGACGAGCGGTTTACTTCACGTTTTTATTGTTAAATAATGTAATTTAGTTTTTTAGGTGAGCAATCTAGCTATAAGATCTTTCGAGGTTTTTTTCCAGTTCTTTACCTCGTCATTTTTTGAATTGTAATGGCATTAAACGCAGTTGAGACTTATGTACTGTCCAGTTTTCATTATTTTCCAATAACTACATTTAAAATTTTAGACAAATATTTTAGCAATATATTATTCTTTAAGTAAAAAAATTCAAAAAACTAAAAAATCAAAAATTAAAAAAAGTTCTTAGACCGAACCGGCTGATTCTAGAATCGACACCAACAAACGCCAACACCGGCGGTGGTACCTCCACTTGACGGTACTAGTACCGGTAGTTCCAAAACTCGAATGGGTCTGTGTCCAGGTTTGTTTTAGAGTGAGATTAGTTTTCTCTATAATGACTTCCATTATTTTTTGATTTGATTAAAAATCACTTGCTAGAAATATATTACACTTTTGGCTAAAATTTAAAAAGAGCTTGAAAATATAGATGTCCAATTGTTGTTTCATACATGTAGTGTTTCATGTACTTAAAATTTCTCCAAGGTCGGGCAACTTATACAAGTGTTCTTCATTAGTATAAAATATATATCAAGTTATTGAAAGTTACTTATCTAAATCACGTTTTCGATAATTAGATAAAAATACTACATAAATCATGTGAAATTAAAAATTTAAAAATTGAAAGTTAACATCGTTACTCTCCGATCATGAGTTGTAGGAGTTTTTTGGTCAAGACATCATCATATTACCATGTCCCGTTTTTTAGCTAAGATTAGTTAAAAGTATTGCTTGATTTGTCAATTTATTTTTGTCACATGTATTAGTGCATATATACTGCTTAAGAAACAAAAAATTACTCGACTATATAATTGATATTGATATTAAAAAAATTAAGGTGTGAGTCATACAAAAATTACAAATATGATTTGATATAAAATATAATAACATAGAAGAAAATAAAAATAAAAACTTTAAAAAATTAGAGTAAATATAGTTAAATAAAATATGAAATTTATAAAATAATGCAATTATTTTAACACCTTTTATTTGTTCAACTCCTTCAATTTCTTTTCTAACTCTTTTTGTTTTTTTCTAACTTTTTATAGTTTTTTTTCCAATTCTTTCGATTTTTTACGACCTTTTTAATTTCTTTTAAGCCCTTCCAATTTTTTTAAGACTTGGTCTGTTCTTTTGAATTGGAGTTTCAAACTTGAATTATAGAAAAAACCAGAGTGCGTTGCAAAAAAAAGTAAAAAATTTTGAAGAAAGTTAAAATGTAAAAACTCCAATTTTGGACTAAAAAATTCATCATTGTCTGTATCTGAGGTAGTACGTTTTAAACTTGGGCATGTTATTGACTTATTGTATATTAATCGTATATAAATACATTACTGAAATCGTTATTAAAAGAACTAGAATAAATTGGAGAATTTTGAAAACTTAATCTTTTCCCTCAAATGAAAGGGGTCTAATTAGAGTACATATACCATATATCCGGATGTATGACATTTTTCATACATCCACATGAATACTCATTCTCGAATAACTGAATTTTCATTTTTGAATATATAAAATTTATAAAATGAATATACCCTTACTCGAAATGAGTGCTTATATACTTAAAAATGAATGTTGAATTACTTATAAATAAATGCGTGCTGCGGACGAGAAATGCCCTACAATCCATTGTAGTGGTGTCTAATTACATCTTCTATAATCTATATTGTCAAATTAGTACCGGCCCGCCCCCAAAATCTTGATTCGGTCCGTCCGGCATGCTCACCCCAAAATTTGCTTTCAGAACCCCAAGGTAAGATTGTGAGCTCCAATTTGATCCAGTAGATTTTCCAAGATATTCCAGCAGTTGGAAGTCATTGAAGAACTAGAGAGATTATTGAGGTATAAGAACAGGTCCTGATAAAGAAGAAGACGAATGGGGGATGGAAACAGCAGCAGAGGCAGCGGCAACAGGCCGGAGTGGCTGCAACAGTACGATCTTTTAGGGAAGATCGGAGAAGGAACGTACGGACTTGTGTTTTTGGCGAAGATCAAATCTTGCGGCTACAAACCCATCGCTATCAAGAAATTCAAGCAGTCTAAGGATGGGGATGGCATCTCTCCCACTGCTATTCGCGAAATAATGGTTCCCTTGTTCATCTCTTGTTATTGCTGCTAGTAATTATACCCTGCTGTGTCTGTGCAAATACCACGTTTTAAAAGATTATTTGTTAGGTGTTTTTTTTTAATTTAAAAAGTTGGATTATTTCTTCTTAGTACAGTTAAGTGTTTGAATGCATCTTTTTCCACAGCTTAAATGGTCAAGTATGTGGTCCGAAATGATTAAGATTCTATAAAATCAGCATGTATTTTTGAACATAAAAGATTGCAATTTGTAAGTTAACAAAATGGAAGGTTGTCTATCTGGCATTCTTCAAATCTGGTTATCACGAAATACTGGATGAATGATTGCTGGGTCTATTTTCTCTGACTTGAATGTTTCACCTAGTCTTGGATTATCAGTTGTTTTGTTACAACTCTAGGAGAGAAATCTTGTTCTTCCAGCAGACCTCTGTTATTTCAGTTTGAAATTGGTTTAATAGTATTTTGAAGTTTTGTCAGTTTATTTTAAGCTGTCTTTTTTGCTTAGAATTTTTTTACTAAGTCATTTTAGCTCTACTGACAAAAGCAAATATATGCAGTTGCTCCGGGAGATATCCCACGAGAATGTTATAAAACTGGTGAATGTGCACATCAACCCTATAGATATGTCACTGTACCTAGCTTTTGACTATGCTGAGCATGATCTTTATGTAAGTTGATGCTTCTTTTGTTTATTTTGGCATTTTTGTGGTATTTGTACAATCAAAGCTGCATAAATGATATTTGCATAAATGTTTACCCAATTAAACAATTTTGAACACGAAATGGGGCATTTTGGTCGTTCTTTCATAAATACTAGTCTTACTACGATAGTGTCTCAAACCTAATAGGGATCTTCATCCTACTCCATGTTTTTCTGCTTTCATCAATGCTTGAATTAAATTATTCAAAGTCCCTTGTATTTCACTATTTTTATTATTGGAAGTAGAAAAATTTAATTTAGGTGAGAAAAATGGAATGGCTAAATTGCCTTCCGTAGTGTTTATGTATTTCCCATTTCGGGGTGCTCACAATTTCAAAAAATGTAAACTAACCTAGTGAAATAGCTAGATCACCTCAATTGAAAATTTGAAACTAGTTAGAGGTAAGTTTTGGTATTTGAGAGGGAGCTAGAAAAATAAAATACAACTAACCTAGTATAATCCTTCAAAAAGTATGGTCTTTGGAGGATGTGTGTATGCAAATCTTACCCCTACTAGAGAGACTATATCCAAGGGACCTTTATTGGAGATAATGTGGGGAATGCTAGAGATATTTTTATTTCCTTTATGGCTTTATTGAAAATTCCTCAATCAGTCCAACACTTAAGGAACCACACACACGGGCATATACTTGCACATATATGCATGCATACACACGCATAGATGTTTTTGCCTGTGTAAAGTACAATTTTTTTAGCATAGAGCAGGTCACCTTAACGAGACTTAATGAGTGATTTTTTTGGGATGTCCAAAAAGAGAAAGTAGAAATGTTTTTGCGGGTTAGGAAGAGTATATACTAATGATTCATGTTCCATATTTAACAACAACAACAACCCAGTTAAATCCCACAAGAGTAGGGTCTGGGGAGGGTGTGTGTACGCAGACCTTGCCCCTACTCGAAAAGTAGAGAGGCTGTTTCCAAAGAGACCCCTGACTCAACGTCGAAAGTTGCATTGTTTGACTAACTGCTACTTCATTAATTAAAGAAGCGCAGATAGTTTAGAGATCCATTTTGATTTATTCCATCACACCCCAAAGCCAAAAATGGTGAAATTTTGGCTCCATCGGAGATGATGGAAGGTCATGTTCCATATTTAACGTGTAGGAAAACAATTATGTTATACACTTATACCCCACCATGCATCACAAAGGGTAAGCAAAATCAGGGGTTAATGCGTTAGTGTTATAATCCTTATTGGGTTGAAATCATTCCCTTTTCCCATCAAAAAAGCCCAATCCATAACCCTTGCTGCCCAAAACCCCTCCTAGGCCGAACCATAACCCACAAACCCTCTCCCACAACATCCAAAATCATTTTTCTGCCCAAAATAAAGTCTTTGCAATTCATTACTAAGCCTAGGCCGAAAATGAACACCAAAAGACAAAATAAAACCTTAGTTTGTTGTTTTCTTCTTTTAAAGTCTTCATTTAATCAAATAAAGTGTTTCCCCGTATTCTCCAACCAAAGGGACGAAATTCCCACCCATGTTCTTCCTAAAATCCAGCCCTAAATCACGAGAAAACAACAACCACACAAAAGAACAAAATCAGTAAAGTGGTCTTTGATTGAATAGTAATATCTGGTCCTATTATTCACTAAAAGCCAAGCCATGTTGTTTCCTTTATCCTCCCACTATAAGGACGAAAATCGCACATAACACCACCCAAAAAGACATGCCAAATCCCTGATCATTAGCCTTGAATTCAACTCATTTGGGATATTAGCACATGGGCAGTATTTGTTTTTTTATTTGTAGGAAAGAAGCGGGAAGTTTCCTTTGTTGTATTTTCTTCATTATGTAATCATGTTTGTTTGTATTGTTTCTCCATTCCATGGCCTATATATTTCGGCCCTCTCTCTTTGTATTAGGCAGCTTGTAAGTTATATTGTGATAATATAAGTTTCTTGCTCAATTCTCTCTCTAAGTTCTATATATATTAAATCCTAATTCTATATCTTAAGAGTGGTTCTCTTAAGTGGCAGTTTTAGGTTCTAGATATATTAAATAAGTTGAGTGATTCCTTATTTAAATACTAGAGTTTAACCCGAGTGAAGATAAGTGTGTGTGATTCCTCTTATTATTCACTTGATAAATGCTTCTTTCCCTCTCCTTTCTTCCCCTCTAAATTCGGCCTGCCCCCGCACCTCTCCTATATTTCTACTTCTTTCTCTTCTTCTTTCTCTTCTTAGTTTATATACTAGCTTACCTCACGCTAGGGTATAACAAGTTATAAGTGCATTAATAAAGTTTAGGTCAAGAGAGTTTTACTCCCTTCGTCCCATTTATTTTGCCACTTAGACTTTTCTTGTTCAAAATTTTCAAACTTAGACCAAATTTGGTACATGAAGTACATTTAGTTATAATATGAATTTAATGCCATTAGATTCATTTCGAAATGTAGTATTGAAATATCATATTTTATATTTTTTGTTTATGTACTAGTATAGTCATTAAGGGTCAGAGTGTTGCAATGAAGACAACAAGTCAACTAGGCAAACAAATTTGGGATGGTAGGAGTAATTATTTATTTTATGAATAATGTATATGGAAGTATAGCTTTATTTTTTCATACATGAAAAGATATATTCAGTCAGCATATCAAATGGTGTTTCCTTTCTTCTCGAAACTTACACTACACCTTAAATTTTAACTTTTTTTCCCTAAAAATTTATGTTATGCACTGGCTTGAAAACTAGTTATATAACTGTATGTTGTAGAGGTTACTGCAAGAAAAGCCAATATCAAAGCTTCAAATGCAATTCTAAAGCTGTGTCATTTTTACCATAGTTTTTAATATTTAATTTGAATATGTTCAGAGATCAGCACCTTTTCGAATGGTTTAAGTGATTAAGGATGGCTCTGGGTTGCATCATTAAGGGGGAGGGGATCTGATTATGATAGTTAGAACTTCGTTGTTTGTATGAAGTTTATTCTGAGTGAAGAATTGCAACTCTAATTTTATATTTCTTGGATGCATCACATTGTATGCCCTGTCAGGCTACACTTCAATATTTACCGTTTTGTACTGCTTTCTATTTATCGATAAATCTACTGCTGCTGCATCTTGAGCACCAAGTGCAATGCCACCACTTGTATTGTTGAAGAGCATATTTTTTATCTCTCATACACTGTGAAAAAGTTGAGCATCATTGCATCAGATCAACCTGTTCCGTTATCGTACTCCTGGTTACCTATTCTTAATTTGCAAAACCCGTGTTGTCTTAATTCTGATATTAATAAATGCTTTCTATAACAATGTGCTCAAATATATTTTTCCTCACATGAATCATCTGCGTAATGCACAGTGTTTTCTAAAAATGTATAATGGATTAGAAACTAGTGTCCTATCCTCACTAAATCTCATGGGTTTTCTTGGATTTTTTAAACCATTGCTTTAGGAAATTATCAGACATCATCGAGACAAGGTCAACCAGCCAATACATACCTACACTGTTAAGTCATTTTTGTGGCAGCTGCTTAATGGTTTAAATTATCTTCACAGGTAGTAAAAATTAATGATGCTTCTTTATTGAGTTTATTCTTAATCTCATAGTATTAAAGATATGAAACTTTCTTGCAGTAACTGGATTGTTCATAGAGATCTAAAGCCATCTAACATCTTGGTATGGCTCATGCTCTTTCATCTGTTTGTTGCATATGTAGAGCAACTATGATTATATTATCTCTATCTTATATTGCTACCAATAAGTTGTGCTCAATGGAATTCAAAACCAGGTCATGGGAGAGGGAGAAGAGCAAGGAGTTTTAAAAATAGGTGATTTTGGTCTTGCTAGAATTTACCAAGCTCCATTAAAGCCACTCTTTGAGAATGGGGTAGGACAAATTGGGTGATTTCCTGACCTATACTGTATTAGTATATTAATATCTATCATTTTAGTTCATTTGTTGTTGTTGTTGTTTTCATTTTTAGTTAATATATTTTTTATGCTGCTAATATGCTAATTTGTTAGGATTAGTAATATATATGGCCTTTTGAATCTCTTTGTATGAAACCTTTTTATCTTTTGATTTTCCAAATATGTGTTTAGAAGCTTATCAACTCTTTAACCTTTGGGGGGGGGGTCAAATGTGGACCTATTTTTGCGGTGCGAATCTGTGCTCCTAGACGCGTTACTTATATTTATGTGATGAGATGGAAGTTTGTGCTTTATGTTGCATATTGAGGGGTGCGCCGTACACCTTGATCATTAGATCAAGAGTTGAAACCTTCCCAATTCCACTAATCGTTTGCTCACAATACTCGGGCTCGTGATCGGTCTATTGGGTACTCTTCCACGGATAGTTTTCTATCTAACAATCTGTCATTCAAGTCTTAAGTTGAGGGTTACACTTGTAGTTTCACAATGGTCTTGCTAGAGAGATTTGAGGTTGGGTTTTGCTGCGAGGAGGTTAGACTGACACTCCAGTGCCAGTTCTGTCATCGGGACTGCTGCTTTTATAGGCGAGGTGTTCTTCCTCAGGTGCTGCAATTATCAAGCGGCTTTAACATCTTAGGAATATTTGATTGAATGGTTTGAATCCCTCCCCAAATACTAGCATTCTGTTTTGGTTAAATTGCAGAAATGGAGTTACAATGTTGAAATCCGGAGCCTGAACGGATCCTGCACGGCAAATTCGCAGAACCCGACCCCGGTCAGAAGCCGGGTATGGAAGTTGGAGTCGAGGAATGGGTTTTGGAGGCCCAAATCGAACCTAGTTTCAATTGGGTTCAACATGCTCCGAATCACAGTGGATTTATGGGCCAAATAGAGGTAAGCCTGGGAGGAGGGAGAATAGGAAGAAGATGATGCCACTGTGTTTAAAAACAGAGAGGCGGTGTTTGGGAAATTTTCGGTGAAGTAGATTTCGCTGCTGCAGTTGGGGCGGCATTGCAGAGGTGGTGAAGCTAGGTATGTACAAGCAAGGACTTGAATGTGGAAAGCCTGAACACGTCCAAGCCAGCTTCCAATCCTCCATTATTACTGTTTCTCGTCCCACTGGCAGCAGCGTTGCTGATGTTGTTCTAGTTATGGATGGAATTCCACTCCATGCTGTCCACTCTTAAGATTACATTTATAGCCTACATTTTAAGAGCAGAATGATGGAATGTTAGATGGAAGACTGTTGGTGGAAGAGAACCCAATAATGAAGGACTGCAAATATAACATTTGGTAATAAAGGACTAAATATGGATACATTGATTTACCCAATTAGGTCCAAAAGGTCCAAAACATAGACTATATTCCCAAAATTGGGCACACCTATTGGCCGAGCCAAGATACCAAAACTTGTCTACTCACCTAAATAAGACTAATTAATCTAATTTTACTCACCTTCCTCTCTCTCCCTTATCAATCACACTTCACCATGAGTTCCGGCAATGGGTAATCAAATCTAGAAGGTGGCGGTTGAAGAACATTGATTTTAAAGGTAAGTGGGTTCTCTCTAGAACTTTAATTGAATTTTTTTTCCTTGAGTTTTTGATTGGTTGCTTGGGATGGCGATTTGGTATTGGGACAACGGGGTCCACTGCTATCAGGGACGGTTGGTTATCTCGCTCCCATATGGGTGGCTGTGACAGGAGTGATGGTGGCTGACAGTTGTGCAGGGGCATTGAACCGGGTTCGGCAGCAACCTGACTCTTCGCCTATTGGCTGGCAGTTTCATGCTAGCAGAAGCACTATCAATGACGCGCAGGAGGGCTTGTCCCGAGGGGGGGGTACTGCTGGGCAGCAGGCTGAAAGCATCCTGCATTATTCACTGGATGTGTGATGTGTGAGGGTGGAGGTCTTATTTTTGTCTCCTTCCAATGTTTTAGTCCTATTTCGGTCCTTTTCCCATATGGAAAACCCCATGTTATAAGGGACTATTTATAGAAATATTTTCTTTTTTTATCAATCCACTTCATGCCATAGAACTTTTTGAAATTCAAAATTGTACCTACTATCTAGAATTGACCCATCAAAACTTAGATGCCTTGTGATAATCGAAGTAAAGATCAATTTTGAAGTATTCTACTAGCTTAGATGGTTTTGTATGATTTAGTTATTTTGGATGAATATGAGAATTATCAGATTCATGTCTTTAAGAATTATTAGAGTTAAATCTCTAACCCTTTCCATGTAGAGGTGGGGTTACACCAGGGTCTTTTCTTAGTTCCTTCCTATTTGCTTTAGTGATGGATGTTCTATCACATGATGTCAAAGGGGAGGTACCTTGGTGCATGCATATTTATTGACGACATTGTACTCATCGTCTCATCGACGAGACACAAGAGGGACTCAATGACAAGCTAGTGTTGTGGCATCATTTCCTATAATCCAAAGGCTTTTGACTGTGTAGATCTAAGACAATACATGGAATGTTGTTTTAGTTGGCGTGTTATGAAGTCGGATGTGGGAGTTAGGATTGTCTCACACCTTGTGCTTAAGAGAGACAAGTTTTGTATCTTGGTTCAGTCATTCAGGCGGATAGAGATATAGACAAGGATTGGAGCCATTTGGGCAAAGTGGAAACTAGCTTTAGGGGTCCTATGCAACAAGAAGATATCGGCAAGGATGAAAGGTAAGGTCTATCATTCAATAGGCATACCGGCTATGCTTTACGGAGCAGAGTGGTGGGTGGTCAAGAAATCCCACGTTCGGCAGCTGCATGCATTAGAGGTGTAGATGTTGCGGTGGATGTGTGGGTAGACGAGGTTGGATCGGGAATGGGTGGGAGTGGCACCTATGGATGATAAACCACGAGAAGCTAGATTGGGGTTTTTTGGCACGTGAAATGGCAAAGTGCAAAGCTCAAGGTGCGGAGATGTGAGAGACTTACGGGGGTGTGTGAGAGTGGGGTAGGGGTAGACCTAAGAAGAATGAGAAGGAAGTGATTATATATGATCCGAGACTTATAATCGTTACCAATGATATGACCTTAGATTGGAGTGTCTAAAGAGCTAGGATTAGTGTGGATAGTTGTCTGGGCCTTGGTGGTAGGCTCGTCTGTCTGTAATTAGGGTCTAGTTGTTAGAGGCAATTTGTGTGCTTTTCTCTCTTTATGTTCTTTGTCCTTAGTTTTCTTTTTTCTTCTTTGTTGGTTTATCGTGTCTTCCTTGCTATTTGAGCTGGGGTATCTTGGAAACCGTTTCTCTACTTTGAGTAGGGGTAAGGTTTGCGCACACACCCCTCCCCAGATCCTACTCTGTGTGGGTTTCTACTGGGTCTGTTGTTTGGTGAATATGATAATTGCATGGGTCTATAAAGAAATCAAAGGTCCTTACTTGAGCTTTTACTTCAGAAAATTACTTACGGGTGATGTGAGTTTTATCGAAATAACTCTCAAGTCTCTCTATTTTCAAGAAGGCAACTAAGGTCCTTATATTTTGTTGTAATGACTGGGAGGGGACATTTCATCCAATATTTCATCCATAAGTGTTAATAAATGTATTTTTTCCTATTTTTCCATTATTGTTTTTTCCTATTTTGCCATTACTCGGTTTTTTCTTTTTAGAAAATATTTTATTTCATTTATTTTAATATTATACAAACAATTTTGAATTTTTATTCGATTTTATAGAAGAAATTCTAAAATAACACTTTAAAAAAGAGTAACAAAAAAAAGAAAAAAAAAAGAAATAAAAAAAGGAGTGACCTAAAATTTATGACATTAAAACATTTAGAAAAAAATAGGAAAAAAATACATTTATTTACGTTTATGGATGAAATATTTGGTAGAATGTCCATTCTCAGTCATTACAACAAAATGTAAAGACCTCCGTGGTCTTCTTGAAAATAGAGGGACCTGAGAGTTATTTCGACAAAACTTGAGTCACCCATGAGTAATTTTCTGCTTTTACTTTCCATCCTTAGTAATTTATGAAATAATATATTAAAATGTTCTCTACAAGATTATAGCTTTGTGCTCTTTGACGCCACGAGCTAAGGAGTTGTAAGTGGAATGATTGATTGATTGCAGGTTGTGGTGACAATTTGGTATCGTGCTCCTGAGTTACTCCTTGGGGCAAAGCACTATACAAGTGCAGTAGGTATGAAATGTGATCCCTTAGAGTAAAATACATACATGTAGCCTTTCTTCTTTTTTCCCGGTTGGGAAAAATAAACTGCTGTTATGGATCATTAGACATGTGGGCTGTTGGCTGCATATTTGCTGAGCTTCTTACACTAAAGCCTCTTTTTCAAGGGCAAGAAGTGAAAGGCCCACCTAATCCATTTCAGGTATGGAACATTTTTCCTTTTGTTTGTCTTTTTTTGAAATACTTTTTTTAATGAAATTTTTCATGTTAAATTTTATTATTTTATGAATTTTGTATGAAATATTAAATGATGAGAAACTAAGAAATTTCAGTGTGTTCTCTTTGGTTGGGTAATGTATGTTGGCAATTGGCATATATTGAATTGATCTGACCTGGAGTGCTGGTTTTGCAGCTTGATCAACTTGACAAGATATTCAGGGTTCTAGGTAAATATCTTTTGAAATTCTTTCCTCATTTTTTTCAGAGATTGGCTAATTCAACCTTGTCATGTGTATGATATCAGGCCATCCCACACAGGAAAAGTGGCCAATGCTTGTGAATCATCCACACTGGCAATCTGACCAGCAGCACATTCAATCGCGTAAATAGTAGGTTCCTTCATACTTGGTAGCTATGTGGTCCTGATATACTCATTGTAGTAATTTGAAAGCTTGGGCCTCAACTATTTTTATTTCTTTTCTTTATGCAGTGAAAATCCTGCACTATACAGTGTTGTACACCTCTCTCCAAAAAACCCAGCATGTGATCTCCTCTCAAAGATGCTTGAGTAGGTTTCCCCATCTTAATGCAATTTGTGTTTAATTTCGTGTCAGGATATGAGCTGTGATGTCTTCATCATACATTGACGTTCATGCACCTAGAAAAGAGCATTCATGTCCTCATTTAATTTTATATTTGTTCTAGGAAAAGGGTTTTCGGTTGAAATACTTAAAATTATAATCATCTCCGAGACAAACTAAAGAGACTTACACCTAGAGGTGGCAATCGGATCAACCGGATCGGTTTCGGGTTGGATTTTTTCGGTTCGGATATCTTTCGGTTATATGTTATAATCGGTTCGGTTCGGTTCGGATCGGTTAAATTTCGGTTCAGATTTGATTTCGGTTCTATACATTTTTCGGTTTGGTTCGGTTTCGAGTCGGTTCAGATACGGTTCGGTTATAAATCGGTTCGGATAAATTTCGGTTCGGATACAATTTGAGTCGGATATATTTCGGTTTCGGGTCTAGTTTGGTTCGGATATATTTCAGTTTCGGATATATTCGATCGAGTAGACTACAAATTATGAAAAAATATATTTTATGATGATATAAATTTAATATCATAATATTAATTTTAAAATTTAGTTTTGATATATTAAAATTTTATCACATCAAATAATATCATATGTTTTTATTTTCCAATGTAGGATCTTTGGTCATTATTAATTAGTCATTGTTCAAGTAAAGGTCCTTCATTACTCGGCATTATTCCTCCCACTAAGACATTATTAAGTCCTATTTAGGGAATAAAAAAATTTAAGTCCTAGATTAA